ACAATGCTTAAAATATTCTTAAGCACAATGCTTAAAATATTCTTAAGCGCAACCACAACAGGGCGTTCCGCTGCAAGACTATCGGAATCGGATCGGAACCTAAAAGAGAAAAAACATGACTGCTTGATCTGCTTCCTCCTGGACGCTGATAGGCCGACGACGACGTCGGTGTGGCGGACAGCCAATGAGCGCGCGGGAGGAAACAGATCGGGCTTTATTCGTTAGGTTCCAGAGGAACACAGTCCTTAATTAATTCATGCCCAATCCTGAATCGCGCATAGCACACCGCTTAATCACGTTTCGCACGGGCTAAATGCTTAATCGCGTTCTCGAGCACATACAAAAAAGTTACGAGCGGTTACGAGGGTAGTCTATTATTGGTGTGTATTATTTTTGCTTTTGCTGTTTTATTAGTATTTTTCCATCTTGTTTAGAGACGGAACCTTCCTCTTTAAACCAAATTTATACTGTCTTCCCATGCTGAACTGTCTAGAATTCAAACTAGTTTCCCACAAACAGCGACGCCTTGCTGTCATACACGAAGCGTAGCTATACGTTACTCTCACGGCAACAGACTCCCAGCGAGACATGATAACACCGAACTGGTCAAGTGCGTCTCCGTTTGAACCGAAACATATCGGAGCCATTGCTAGTTTGACGCTTTTTGAGGACGATCATCCTGCTGGTTTCACCCTACCCTGGTCTCTTCTCTTTAGCAGAAACGGACCGCGGGGCAACTTCCTGGTGTCGCCTCTGTCGGTGACGGCCGCGCTGGGTCAGCTGGCCCTGGGGTCGCGGGGAGAGTCTCACCGCCAGCTGGGCGAGCTGCTGTCGCTTCCCGGCCGGCCGGGCCAGGCCAACCGCAAGCGCTCCGTGATGCAGCTGCACCTGCAGATGGGAGGGCTGCTCGAGATACTGCAGGCGGACGCTCGCAGCAGCCCCGCCTTCCAGCTGCACACGGCGTCCGCCCTGTTCGCCGCGCCAAACCTGCGCATGTTCCCGCGCTTCAAGCGAGAGGTCAACGAAATGTACAGCACCCAGATCGTCTCCGTCAACTTCGGGTGAGTCCGATCTGCAGTAGCAGTAATACGCGTGTGTCGCGTATCGTCCGTGTTGCCTTCCTGGTCTGCGTGTACGTGTGGAGCATGAAATACAGACTATTGTCTCATTACGTCGTTGGAGGTGGCGGGGAAGAGTACGACCGAGAATCTGAGTCATCTCGTCTCCTCTCGGAGATGCTCGTCGCACCTCGGTAATCCCGCGCCGAGATGCCGGCTAGTGGCAATGAAAATCCGCAAAGCCAGCTCGACTTTAATGCTGCTCGTAACGCTCATTGCCGATTGTTTCTCATTCTCATTACCCGTTGCCCGAGCCAGGCCCGCACGCGATGCAGCATCGGAAGTGTGTATGGAAGTGTTTCACAACCTGACCTAGCGGGCGTTCAGCTTCAGCACCTCCACGAGAGGCGCGGGGGGCAGCGGTGGGGTAGTCAGCATTTAGGATTACAAAAGGAGAACGCGAGTATGCCAGAGGAGCTGCTTTCGTTAGAACCGCCCGAAACGAAATAATCGGGGTAGTCTGCATTTTCCCTGCATGGCATGACCATGAGTTTTGCACTTACATTGCTTACATTTGGCACTGCAGCAATCTTGTTTTTCAGTTACATCATTCGATTGGTTATACACCTAGATTTGCAGAGCATAGATGATAATAAAAACGCGAGAACATAACAAGAACTAAAAGTCGATAGCTACGTGACGCTTCTGCTATGCAAGTGCATTTTGTTGGCGGTCACTAGTGGAATTTTGCCTTGACTTCTATACGGTTCTTTCATAGTTTGCTGTACGATGCTCGAGTTATTTGTTGTGATTCTAGTGACCCGGTGGGCGCTCAGCGCCGCGTCAACGCCTGGGTGTCGCAGCAGACGCACGGCCGCATCCCCCGCGCGCTAGCAGCACCGCCGCCCGCCTCCACCGCCGTCATCCTCTCCAACTCGATCTACATGAAGGCGGCCTGGAGGTTCCCCTTCTCCCGCGAGTTTACCAAACCCGGCGTCTTCAGACCCAGTCTCTCCCAGCAGGTGTACCTCGGAAAATCCCCCGTTTCATTGCTTTAAAGTGCATAACAAAAGTGTCACGCAATACAGGCTGGTCCGAAGACCCCTTCCTTTATTTTGCTTATACTGTACCGCATGCAGCCGTGCGGGCGGGCTTGCCTACCCTAGCGCCTTATGGCCCTGTGCGAGTATGCAACCCGGCCGCACGCCTGCATCCGGTACAATATAAGAAAAATTCTAACGCTAACGCGTTAACGGCCCCCTTAGATTTTAACGTGAACACTGGCATGTATACATATATAATACTACAACGATTCATTACATTGGTAGTTACTGATTTTGATGTACACTGCAGTCAAATATCTAGGAAATTTATGTTGAACAGATTTAATTAAATAATC